ATGGTTTCCTCAGATTACAGCCTCCAATCCATCTCCATTTCTTCCTGCCTATTTGTTTCACAATCGGTTCCTGGTTGGTTCGCTCATTGCCAGAGATCTCTGTTACTGATCTTTTCTGGCTGGCCATCTGATCTTGAGCAGCATTGAGCGAAGACAACTGTTAATGAAGGTCTGTAGTTTGTTTGAGGTGCTCTTTATGACGCGCAGTGTAAGTCTCTGATCCGTATAGTAAGTAGCACTGACTTCACATTGCAGTTGAAAATCCGGATCTTATTTTTGATGCTGAGTGCTGTTGACCTGCACACAGACTTGAGAGAAATGAAACCTTGTCTTGCTTTTCCGGTTCTTGCTTTGATATCCTCGCCGATTCCGTTAGCCTGTAGTTGAAACGATGCTTCCGAGGCAGGTAGGTGAAGGAGGTTGTTTCTTTGAGGTTCCTTCCATTTACGCTGATTGTTGTCTGTTGTTGTTGCTGTTGGTGGTGTTGCCCAGGAATCTTCATCACCTCTGTTTTCTCTATGTTCACCTGAAGTCCTTTCTTGGATGCTTCTTCTGCCGACTTGTTGCTTTTCGCTTGCATATCTTCCAGTTTGTGTGAAATCAGACATATATCATCGGCGAAGTCCAGATCCTCCAAGTTTTTGTGTGAGTTCATTTTATGCCTGTTTCCTCATTGCCCACTGTTTGTCGCATTATCCAATCTACTGCAATCAGGAAAAACATTGGCGATAGTAGGCAGCCAGCTTGTCTTACTCCTGTCCTCACTTCGAAGGGTTCCGTAAGTTTCCGGTTGTGGATTACGTGGCATGCAGCATTGTCGTATAGCTGTTGGATAAGATGTATAATTGTCGGTTGCACCATGTAGTAGCGAAGTAGCTGCCAAAGCACCTCTCGATCGACGCTGTCAAAGGCCTTTTCAAAGTCGATGAAGTTGAGATAGAGAGGTGACTGCCATTCCAAACTTTGTTCAATGATGATCCGTAGTGTTGTGATCTGATCAATGCATGACTTGTTTCTCCTGAATCCAGCCTGTTCCGGTTCATCCACGGCTTGTTTGATTCTCTCCAGGATGATTCGGCTTAGTATTTTGCTTGGGATGACAGACTGTATCCAAAAGGAAGACAAGTGAATCAAAGGTAGTTTAATCTAAATAGTTAAAATAGAATCCCAGCTCTATGATAGCTATAAAAATCCCGAACCACTTGTCCCTTTATGACTGATGATTTCATCTCCATCGACTCTACCATACGATTCCAAAGGATTATGTGATAAATTTAATGAAGTAGCAAAATTCCTTTATTACAGCATCAAATCCTTCATTAACTTTTAGGAGGAAATCGTTGAGGCTAATCTAAACGACGGTAAATTACGGTATCCTATAGTGTTAGTGTACACTATATTTCAACCAAAACTACCAAAAGTAATTATGTTCATGCCTACATATGGTCATAATTATTTAGCGGTGTTGAGCAGACTCTGTAAGCTGAAGGACTTCATTGACCTAATTAGACAAAATAATTTAATCTACAAAACATCTTCAGATGACTGTGAGTTCAGTTACATAGAAGAGACCAAAAGATCGGGGTAGTCAGGTTTTCGGAACAAAAGAATTGAGCTGAGTTTAGAACGATTGACTCCAGGAAGATGAATAGCTTGAAGGAAACTCAGCAGTCTTAATACATTCACTAAGACACAATCACACAGTTCAGTGGGATAGAGCTGAGGTTTTAGAAAATAATATAGTTAGGTAGAGGGACAGTGGTTGATCACTGCTACCTTGTTCATCGAATCTACATTTGTTACGTGAAAAATAGAAACGACACAACGCCACTACCAGTGATGTGGAAAGTATTACTTCAAATTAGAATCAAAGGATAAGAAATAATGGAGTTACATAGACAAAGTATGAAAGCAATGTTGACCCCTTAATATGATTATGAGCAATAAATCGTGCTTAGAACATCAGAAAATAAAAGAGCGATACTGTATCACTGTGTTTTCCATCAAATAAAATTATTCTCTAATGAAATTATACTCTATCTCAATGCCCAAATTCTATTCTTGTATCGTTTGAGTACTCGTATAAATGCATGAAATGAAAGTGTATCGTAAAAAATTTTGAATTCAATAGTTAAACTACCTCAACAGACTAAGTAGACTTTGGTGGCAATATCAATACCACAACATTTCAACAATACACAAAAGATATATGTGTCCAAACCAAGTTCACTTTTAACGGTTTGAAAAAATTTGGTTATTGGGTATATGACATTCATTATAATAAAGGTTTTTGTATTTCCCAATGAATGAAAAACAAAACGATATTGTTTTTACTGATGTTTTGCTATTTAATGCTGCCGCTAATAGCTTTATCAAAGTATTATTAAACCGGAATTTACTAAATCTCAGCATATATAATATCAGAAGTACTTCATATCAAGTGGAATCCAAATTGTCTGAATAGGAATGATGGACTAAAACAGAATCTCACCTGGTTACAACACCTCCCTCCTCTCCCCCATGAAGTGACAAAATCAACACGAATGTGATAAGCAAGTTCACTATGTAAACACACACTACTTTTATAATTTTACACACTGATCAAATCCAACAATCCACACTTGGTTTTGTTATCTTTACCAACTGACCAACTTGACAAAGAAAAATGACCCCAGACTGTTGAACGATGATCAAGTTAGTAAACTTTATTTTGAAATCATAGCACACGTACTATTACCTTTGTTATTTGGTTTAGTGACCTTCATTGCTATTTTTACTTTCAATATATCCTTTTAACTTGACCTAAATATATTTTCTCACCCCTTAACTCTTTGTTATATATAAGCTGAGTGGATTTGGTAAATTCCGGTTTAATAATACTTTGATAAAGCTATTAGCATTAAATAGCGAAACGTCAGTAAAAACAATAGCGCTTTCTTTTTCATTCATTGGGAAATACAAAAACCTTTATTATAATGAATACACAAAAGAGACAAGCGACATGAAATTACTGCCATCTTTTAGAGAATATTCTTCACCTTCTAACTGTATTATAGCAAAGTGGAAGTCTAGGGAACTTCAGCAAAAGATCCATTTCTCCAAAACAATCGGTTACCACAAAATCATTTTATACAGCTACAAGAAGGATGGCTTGACGACATGTAAACAAACTTTCTAAAACCAACATTTGATTATTCAAATAATTTGAAATAAATGGGGATTACAAGCCGTATCAGTCATTTCACTTCATGCTATTTAACCGGGATGGTGTTACAGTTTAAATAAGACAAAGGCAACATTCTTTATAGGGTAAACTGCATCAAATATCAAAACACCTATGCTAGTAAAATAACAGGTCCTCACTGTCACAGAGTTAATGAATTGGCTTATATTAATTTTTCATGGATAACTGTTCATTTGAGTTGAATTAGTGAAATATCAAATCCTTAGGAAAAGAAAAAAAGGAAATCCTAAGGAATTTTTAGAAGCTTGACATTTATGTTAATCTACTCTGTGCGTCGGTGGCACAGCGGTAAAATGCTCACCGACCACGCATATGGTCCGGGGTTCGATCACCGACCGACGCATTCCTTTCCCTCCATAAGCCAGTAATGAGACTGGTAAAGGGGGAAGGTTGGGCATGAGTCTAGCGACCCCATCCCATAAAAACAAGCATCACTGCTACTGAAGCTTCGAACATCTAGCTTGAAACCACCTTATGTTCCACTGAGAACGTACAGGAATAAAAAACGATGAGTAAATATTATCAGGGATCATATTCACTGGTTAGTTAACATTTCACAGAATATAATCTTTTAAATAATTTCTTGATAATCTGACATCAGGGATAGAGCTTTACATAATCAAAGAGCAACAAATAGTTGTTTGAAAAATTCCCTTCATTCAACCCTATAATACCTGATAAATAATAGATAACATCTTTATCATAAAACCTGACAATTTTAATTTTGATATTATTGACCGTACCTATACCGTGTTGTCTAAACGTACACAGAAACTTAGACAAACCAACAGCTCAATTCCTGAACACCCTGTTCTTACAAATTATTTCGCACCAATCGAAAAATCCTCCAAACTGATATATAAGGTAAGAATAGAATTTTCGAAAAGTCGCCGATCACATTTGTCCACAGCAAAAGATCTTGATATATCCTAGGAAAAACCGTGAACCAAATATTCAGTGCCTATATGTCCATTCCATTTTACTACTGTGGCCTTAAATTTTTCTAATTTGTACACTATTTTGGTAATATAATCCATGTTCATTTGGTCTCTTCCTCTTACTCATTCCTTTCAAACTCATAACTTTAAAACATGCTTAATAAATATTGTAAGTCTCTTATCTTTATGAACAATGTTCCTGTTTCCAAGCTGTTGTAGTTATATGCAATTAATTCTTAACGAAACGCGACACTTAATATCTTTAGTTTACGTAATTTACTATTTTTCATTACATGTAATTTCATATGTTTTATAACCAACTGGTATAAACAAACGACCTCTGTTGATATTAGATATTAGTGCTAGTTCACACTCACCCACCAGTCAGAAAGGTGTATCTGCAACCTCAAAGGAACTCATGTCCCTTCTGAGATTAGAACCCGTGTCACCTAGTACTGCCTGCAGTTGGAGACGTTACCATTGAACTATTCAGGCTCGCGATTGACCTCCTGTAGGACTGTATTGGATATGGGTATTTCCCTGATCTTTTGGAACACTAGATAACTGTACAGCTTTGCAGCGAAGTTGCAGAGAGAATATTATTTACTGACCTACGTTTTTTTAAATTTGTGTCATGTGGGCATTTTTCACACTTTAGTATGATGAATTATTGTGATTGCAAACTCCAAAACATTAAAAAACCAAAATGAATTAATTTTTTACAGCTTCGGCAATTTTAAAAGCCCTATGGAAGTTACCGTTACAGAAAAAAGTAGAAATATTAAAAATGTAAAAAGATACAGTAATTTACACTTTACCTTTATTGGCTCTTCACATCCAGGGAAATGAATTTCACCATGACTGTGTATAAAGTTGAACTCATCAAGTTTTTCAACTTCTATATTCTGTTTCCCTGGCTTTTTACGTAATGTTGACTTTTGAAAACCAGTTAATTTTGACTCATTTTTACTCATATTTCATGTATACATATAATAATATTCAATGCTTAATTCTGAATTTATGAATGTAATAGTATTTTTTTAAATTCAAAAGCACAATAATCTCCTATATACTCATCATAGATGTATGTAGATATCTTACTATGTTTAAAGTATGCCCATTGAGTTAATTTTAACTGTGATTTACTGAATTCTTATTGGTCAATGCAATTTAAAACAAAAATTAAAAATGTCAGTGGTTTACTCAGGGTTTATTTTCGTTTTCCCTGAAATGTTTGCTTAACTTATGATTTTGGTGAAGAGACAAAAGAACGTGTCATGAAACCTGGTAAAAAAAATGTACTTAGAGTATGTAGGGATGGGAACAGGAAGTGATGCAGCATCGGTAAGAAACCTGAATGAAAAAGGCTGTTAGATTTCATATATGTGTAAAACTTAGGCACTGTGGTAGTAAGTAATTCCATATTAGTTTGTTTATTAGATATATCACACAGTGATGAAACAGTATTATTTACTGGGTGACAAAGTTTCGAACAAAATTTACCGTTCATAATCGAATCATTTCTAATCACACGATTTCGAAACTTGAGTTTTATAGTTTCCTTTGTTCTCTCCTATTTGTCGTCGTTGGGGTAGTAGAATTTTCCAGATATCTGGGAGAGGTGTTGAATCATTCCTACCACATGTATTTGTAGTTGATTTGATAAAACAACCTTCGGTTATCAATCACACTAGAGCAGCATAAAAACTTAGCAATATATAGATTAGTTGGCGCTCATAAGATAAGAAATCTAGAGAACATTTCAGCTATAACACTACATGCAATTACACAGAACCACACAGTAGGATGAGATAAGGTGACATTTTAAAAACCTAATGTAACAGTAGGGTGGAGAAAGGGATTGATAACGGAAGCTTTGTTTATCGAATCAACTGCAAATACATGTAATAGGAATGATTCAACACCCGTCCCAGATATCTGGAAAATTCTACTACCCCAACGACGACAAATAGGAGAGAACAAAGAAAACTATAAAACTCAAGTTTCGGAGTCGTGTGATTATAACTGAGCTGTTAGATTTCATTAATTTTCCTGCCTTGCAGTAAATCTTATTAATCTATATGTTATAAAGAATGAAATTTAATTTCAGTAAAATTGTTTGTAGTTCAGATGATCTTAAATTAGCCTTCGTGGGAATTCTACAACTTTGGTTTAGCGTATATTAACATCTGTTAGTTCAACGTAAACGAAACTGAGACATTCTAGGCATTAAATTGTAGTGCATAGAAATGATGCAACAGTTCTGTACTTTTCTGTGCCTTGAAGTTTCTGTAGCGATTAGATTGATTTTCCTAAGTAGGCTGACTAGCCTCACACCCAAACTTCCCTTTTTCTCCAGGCTTACGACTTGGGTGGTAAACTAGATGAGGTTGATTCAAAAGTAATAACCTCCAAAATTACTTAAAATCATCTTTCCAAATATATTTACATTCACATACCAAATCTGTGTGCGTCGGTGGCATAGCGGTTAGGACGCTCGCCGACCATGCACATGATCCGGGGTTCGATCCCCGGCCACAGACGTACTCCTTTACCTCGCTAAGCCAGAAATAATGCTGGTGAAGAGGGAAGGTTGGGCATGAGGCTAGCAACCCCATCCTGTAAAATAAACACTGCTACAGAAACTTCAAGCCACTAGCTTGAAGCCCTATGTTCCACTGGGGAACGTGAAGGAAAAAAAAACATACCAAATCTATAAATTTGGAATACGAACTTTGGCTAACCCATAGTAAGCGGGAAAAGCTAAATAAAGAATGAACATCAGAGGCACTAGATAGGATTCCAAAGAAGACTGGAATCAGGGTGGCATTTAAACCAACCAGTTAACTGTCTCAGAGACAAACTTTGTCAGCTTAAAGACCCGATGGATCCAATTAGGAAGAATAATATAACTTACCATATACCATATAATGGCTGTGAAGTCAGTTACGTAGATTACACTGGTATATCGGGGTCAATTGGAGTTTGGGAATACAGGAACCTAACGAGATCCAAAGCTATTTACCCTGTTGAGTTACAAATTCTAGAAGGAAGCATGGCCACTGCGATGCATTCACTCACATGTAATCACACAGTGGGATGTGATAGAGTAAAAGTGTGAAAAAAAGTAATATAAATAGGTGAAGAGACAGGTTAATCACTGAAGCTTTGTTCATCGAATCAATACCGCAAACGCACAATCGAAACAACGTAACATAGGGCTTCAACAACACATCTCCACTTTAACAAAGCAAGAACAACAATTGTACCAGAAGGTAATATGAGCTCATCTTTTATTATTTCGAGGATTCTTATCAACTGGTTACAACCTGAACGATTAAAAATATGAATTACATTTAAGATTTGAACATACTTTTCCACGATCACAAGGAGTAATTGGTAGGAAGTAAAAGTAACATTAGTCCGGAATGATTTAACTAATTAAGAGTTACAAACACTGACTATTTATAGAATAATTAAATCATTTCGGACTACCAATTACTCCTTGTGATCGTGGAAAAGTATGTTCAAATCTTTAATGTAATTCATGTATTTGTATCGTTCAGGTTGTAACCAGTTCAGAAGAATCCTCGAGATAATAAAGGATGAGCTCATATTATCCTGGTACAATTGTTGTTCTTGCTCTGTTCAAGTTTATTAATGGGAAGAATTGCATGAAGCTTTTGAAGAAATATCTCCACTTTGTTCTGCTTTCTGCCATCCTCTTCAGATGGGTCCACGATTGACCAAACTCTCTCATCTCTCCCTCACACGATCTCCTCCATTTCACCCTCGCACTGACGACCCACTCGTTGCTTCCCATTTGGATTCCACTCGAGGGGCTGGCATGCGATGTCATTCGGCGGCTTCCTCAATGAATGCCCGATCCATCTCCATTTTCTCCTACATATTTGTTGAACGGTCGGTTCTTGTTTAGTTTGTTTCCATAGTTTCTTGTTGCTTATTCTTTCTGGCCATTTGATCTTCAGTATGGAGCGAAGGCAGCTGTTGATGAAAGTCTTAAAATAACATTATTGAGATTTGTTGAAGAGAATAAGTATTTTATATTTTTATAGCTAACATATCCATAGGCAAACATTATTAGAATAAGAATTGTATGAATTCATTCGGAGAGCAAAATAACAAAATAAAAGGGACTGGAAAGATATCTACCGGCTGAATGTAACACACTGGGAGTAAATATGGATGAATGACGCTGACGTATGCACCATTAGGAAATTTCATCTTTATTATAAGTTATTTATTTAACATTTTAACAAAATCTTATCATGCGGAATAATAAAAAGACGGTTGCGGCGAAGAAAAATTTCTTTTCCACGAATTCATCAACTAGACAGCTGTACATTCGTGTATTTATAGTAAATGGGTGAGAAAGTTCCAGAACTATTTCCGGTCAAAGGTTAAATTAATAAAATTACAAAGTGTAATAATTACTGACTGACTGACGTTTTCCTGCAAGAAACTGTTCAACCAGAACGCTAAAGACAAGCTGTCACATTGGACCACTTCAACGTGCATATACCAGTTTACTTGCTCGTGCAGAGCTGAGTATATCGGCTGTACCATGTGCCAACTTGCTAAACTCGCTCATGAACACTATCCAGCGTGGCTAGTAAAAAGGAGAACGAAAATGTGTATATAGTTCAGTGACAGAACATCTGGTCAACTCAAGACATTCAGCGCCATTCGAAAAATCCTTCAGAATCATATACAAGATTCGATCAAACCTATCAAAGGGAGTAAAATCAAGGCATCTGGGCATAGCCGAGGCACTAGCCATCCAAAAACTCAAACTTACTCTATGTATCCAAAAAAAATACGTCCAACCCTTGTCCCTGCCATGGCCATCATAACAGGTAATCCTTCTAATAGTGACTATCCCATTGACTTTCTTATCCAAACTTCCTCTTCATTCATGTTATTTTAAGTTTTTCTTAATCCCTACTTACACTACCATATTTTCATATCCGAACTCCATGCCTATTTTGTCATTTTATTATTTCTACATATTTAATCCCCAACTGCATAAACAATTATTTGTCACATTAGTTATGATCCCACTAGATTTTTTATCCAACCATGCTATCTGTTGTTGTTATTTCTATATTTAGAACACAATATTCAGCAAAGAGACTCTTTTCAACGAATTTATTATCAAGCTGTACAATCGTATATATATGGTTTTTAAGAAATTATATCCGGTGAGGGAATTAGGTCAAAGGTGTGAATACATGAAATAATAATAGTATGAAATCCAATTAAAATATTTGTGATTATGATCATAGTTTAGTGTCAAGTGGCAAAATAATTAATGTCATATATAGAATAACAAAAAAGGTGTATAGATTTTGAAAGGGGTACATAATTATAAATAAAATGTTACATAACATGGTGTGAAATCTGGTAAGATAGGATTCAATATTGTAAAAATAAAAATTAATAATTTCGGGTTTAAAATGTTAAGTGGGTCAAGGGGAAAAGATTCAGAGTGAGAATAGTAATAATAATAATGACAATAATATTAATAATAATCGTAGTAATAAGGGAAGAGTACATAGAATAACTAAATTAACAAAATAAATAAATGTCTATCCCTCTACGGCCAAGGCAGAAGTAGGGATTGTACATGCTTCTTTTATACACAAACATCTGGCTTAAATTCATGAATGGCCAAGGCCTCCACTATTTACAGAAGTCTGTAACGAAGAAAACGCGGGCGACAAGTCAGCATGGATTCGGTAGATGATCTTAAAATCATGGTCGGGGTTGATAGAATGACAAGTGTTGATCAGGTGTTCTAGAATAGAGCTTCGCACACTCTTCTTTTCTCCCTTGTAAAACCATGCTGGAATAATTCTCGTATCCGTGTGTAAAGCGCCCTCTGGCTATGGCCAACATACCTTGCTCCACAAGAGCAGAGCACTTGGGAACGGCCAGACTGGGGAGCTTATCTTCTACAGAGATGGGGAACAACTTGCGGCTGTTGAACGTCATTTGCAATTTTGCTGTAAAGAATGTCTTACTGACTCCTTTAGAGAGACGGTTTTTGAGCATATCTGAAGCTTTATCACC